GATAAATGAGAATTCTCATAGAAATACTGATATGGTCCTCCAGACGAGAATAATTCTGAATTAGTAGCTTCTGTCGAGAGATACAATAAATAGCTCGCCTCGAATCTTCCGACTAACAGTGTCGGCCGTCATGTCAGCTCTCCCAAAACTCCGAAAGAAGTAGAAGAACGAGAGTTTCTATGATGGACAAAATTAGAATAAGGACGGATCTGCACCTCGCGATGTGCTTGCTCCGGACTCTACTATCCTCCTTAAAAGATTTCTTCATAATCTTTTAAGGTGAAAAGAAACACTCCTTGACATGCGTCAAATCACTCCATCTGAAATTCTACGCCAGGAAGGGGAAGACCAAACGAAACTCCCAAAGTATGGAAATTGAACAACAAAAAGAAGCGTCAAGCATAATTCAACGCTGCTTGCCTTGCGAAAAGGGAATAAGCAAAGGTTTGCAAAAGTCTTCAAGAAGACAAAAATTTAAGAAAGGAAACAAGACTGCTTCGCCTCCATGAGTCCACAATTCACTGCCTCCATCATCGGTTCAAGCTGATCCCGAATATCCATGACCAACTCAAGAAAACAACCAATGCATAGAACGAGTATACGAACAAATATATACCCGACTAACAAACGGATTTTCAAATCCAACCAATGAAAAATGAACGTTTTAAAATATGGAAAATTCTACCATTATATCGAAATTCTCAACCAATAACTTCTAAAGAAAGAACTTAACTCTATACCACTAGAGTTCCAGTTCATACGACTAAAGTTCACCACTCATCTAGAGTTCAAGAATGCTTAAAAGCAGGAGGATAAAAACCCAAGCCCCGATATACATCTCATAATATCATAATATTTCACAAAAGCCATTCAATGTTACTCATGTATTCATACCTGGGTTGGCGCGGCACGAATGAAGCGAGTGGTCATAACACAAGGTCAAAAATCACATAATCAAGTTTTCATACTTAGAGCAGTCTACAAAAACGCAAACTGGCTCTGATACCAAACTGAAACGCCCCACTTTTATTTGACAAAAATCAGTATAAAATTTTAAAATTTTATATCATAAACTTTGGTGGGCGCTACTAATTTGAAAAACAATTTTCAATATATCATAAATGGAACTCCCAAACGGGTTCAATAATCATGTCAACACCGAAACTAGATTCATCAATATCATCAACTCCCAAACTGGGTTCACCAGTATCATAATAACTAGTGATTACACTCCCTTTCAATAATCCAGTACTCAATAGTAGTCAGAAATGCATAAATGATAATAAGCAGTTCAAATAGCGGAAGCAAAATCAACAATATGACCACCACTCGCGTCCTTTCGCTGTGCCCTCAAATACTAACTTGCATCCTTGACGAGCAGGTGGGGGTGAGCACAATTGGAAACCGTGGTGCTCACCACTATGCAATAATCAATAAACACGATTCATAAAGTAAAGCAGGTATGGTCGCAGTATAAACACAAATCAATTAATATCCCATCTCCTATACCAGAGTCAACCCGCATGTGCACACCTATACCAATAGACTACTGCCTGACTATATACCGAACGCCTTATCAAAGGACTTACAACGAGTGCCCGACCAGCAGGAGTAAATCCACCCCGAGTGCCAAAACTCATGCCTTGGCCTTACATATGAGGATCACCAGCCAAGGCTCGCGCAGTGACTGCCATACATAAATAAAGAAGACTACCTGAAGGTACGTTCTATAGCTACAGAGATAACCGTTCGATGGCCGGTACAGCTCATATCGAAGGTTACATGGTACATATGCACACTTTGATTATACCACAACAAAATTAATTAATTAAAGCATATCAATTCTATAAATAAACCCACATGGTCTCCGGAGAATAGAGAAATCACAGAAATCGGGAAAAGCAGGCCAAGAACACAACTCGTCAAAACCTACGATTATTAAAATACCCTATAAACGTCTATCTGACACCAAGATCATCATAATTAAGGCACGTAAGGTTCACACCCTCAACACATAAACAAACGTAGCCCATATAAGTCACATAAGCAAATACTTAAAAATAATTTCCATTTTCCAAGACATAACATAAGTTTTTTCGAAACTTAACCCGCGCAACGATTTTGAAAACAACATAACTTGCAGCATATAAGCAAATTCTAAATATCTAAAGCTTCAGGCATGACATCAACAAGATTCAAAATCCACTGGAAAGCCAACTCAACAAGGAACAACTTTGATGAAGACTACTTAAGCAAATAAGATCATCATCACCGAGTTTATGCATAAAACATTTAGGTCAAGAAATCTGCCAGAATAACCATTTACCAACTTACAACACTTCATTAAAACAACAACTCAAGTTATAGAACTCCAAATCATACAAACTCAAAACCTGCAGAAACCACACAAGGAAAGCTACAAATTTCATGAAGAGCTTTTTACATATAATCACGTTAAAGGCATCATTTCAGAGCATACATTCCATGCATATACACAGCCGCTGCTTCAAAATTCTGGGCATAAATCCAACTTAGAAAAATCATATAAAATCAACCAAAACTCCAAATTGCAAGATTTCAACTCCTACTGAAATCTTATAACGTGTACTACATGTCTCATGAAGATCACATTTTCATATAGCCACCTTAGGATCATAAAAATCAGCCTAACATCATAATCACCAAACCTGCCCGGATTTGGACAAACAACATGCGTGTTCAACTTAAAAAATTCATAACAAATTCAATTCAACTCCAAATTTCAAAATTTTATCTCCCCGTGATACATAACTGGTAGTACTTTAATTAATAAGTAGAATTCTCCTCCAAGAAATGAGTTCTTGAAGGTCAAAACTGAATCACAACTGAGACTTAAAATCTGCCATATAACATCATTCATTCACATATTCAAATTTACTTTCATATTCATCCATTACAATACTTATAAACATAATTCATGCATAAACATCAACTTACAATCATCATATAATCATATAGACATCATCTTCATCAAATATATCACACACATAATAAAATATCAGCATGTCGAACGTTCCCATCAACACCGTATCACATGAATACGAACAACACTTCAGTTATTAGACTCTAACTCATGCTACATAACTTCAAAAGACCCGATTCAAAAACCTATGGACAGCCATGAAGCAAGGCAAAAATTTTCATGAAGATCACTTTTCAGTTTTAGCACATTAAGACACAGCAACTGGGTTAAACTTCTAACATAATATACTGCCGGGTTTTCTTAAAATAAAACTGTACGCGCGACATTTTTGTAAAAATCATAACTTATTCGTATCAAATCAAAATCACATGATTATAAAGTCCAGAGAAAGCCAACAGATCGAGCTACTTTGCATTAGAAGGGCACACCATGTAATTACGAGTTTCTGAGGCTCATAGCAGCAGTAAAACAGAGCAGCAAAATGAAGTAAATCATACGATATTAACGATACTTGAACAATTAATAATCTCCACATCTCATGCATCTCATTTACATTATCAACAACATATAATTGACATAATCACGTCCTCTTATTGATAATAAACATGGAAAAGGTTCACGATTTCAAGAATTCGACACAAACATCATAGACCACTTATAAGTTATATGAATTCAATAAACACTAACAAGATCATAACAGATATTCACATATCAACCACATATACACGTAAAATAAGAGGTTTCGAGCCTTATACCTCCATAGGGAATAAAATGTAAAGCTGAAAGAATCGAGTAAACGAAGCCTCGGACATGAAATCGACCTTGTCTCATCTCGAATAAGGCTCTCGACGAACTCGCCCGGCAAAATGCCCGCTACTCATCTCGAAAACGAGTCAAAATGAGGCTATACAGGGCTGAACGCACGCGTGCTGGGACACGTCGGGACTCACAGTGGTTCACAGTTCTCGGCACTCGGTTTCCGCCAGTGATGGGGGTTGTTGGCTCGTGAACAGACGACAGTCAATCACCGTCTTCTCGAAATTCCTGGGCCGTCGCTGCTTTGAGTAGGTGGAGACGGTGCTGCTTTGCTTGTCGACGGGATGACGGGCGTGGTTTAGAGCTTGACTTGCCCGGCGGGGATTCATGGATGAAGGCGGGTCTCGACGGCAAAGCTTGACTTGTCCGGCGGTAATACGCGTGGTCAGCGAGGCGGAGCAGCGGCTTGAGATGCTAGACAGGGCGGAACAGCGGTGGAAGGGCGCTGCGACGGAGCTCCGAGATCGAGCG